TTTGCACGTGGTGGCGATTCTGGCTTCTTCCCTGATCTGCCAACACCATGAGCGGCGTCCAGTGTGGCGGTAAACGCCCCACCGAAGTCGGCCTGTCTGCTAACGACGGGCATTTGGCAAGGATCGCAAAGAGCACCTGCAAGTTGCAGGTACGAACACTCCAGTGAAGAGCAGTCATGCCAGCAGGGTCAGCCATGTGTTCGATGGAGTCTGGCCGCAAAGATTTGATCAAAGCCAGGGCCAAGTCCGTCTCTCCATTGAAAACCGCCTCGATGAGTCCCATGCCGGTGTCCTGGCCAGAGGCCGCTGCCTCTGCCCCACGAGCCTCCGCCTCCCTCTGTGCCATGAGACTGATCAAATGCACTTGCTGCTCTTCCAACAGCTGAATCAAGCGACGAAACTCTTCTCTGTTCGATGGAGCTGGAATCTCCTCTTCAGGCTCTTGGCTGGCCTCAGTTCCAGGTGGGACACCGAAGGAGTCCTGATCGGCGTCATCTCCCCAATCTGGTGCCTCATACTCATCATCCTGACCCGCGGCCGGCCCAGCATCGCCTCGAGCTGCAACTTTGGAAAAATAATATAACGATCGGGAAAATATTTATAATTAGCTCAAGAATCAGAACCGAATCGGCAGCATCAACGACTCCACTCAATACCTAAATAAAATAAACTATAATTTGGATCTGCAGCTGCCTCGTGGAGTCGCATCCACATCCACCATATCCCCTTCCTCATCAGAGACCTTGCCCAATTTCTGGTCCAACTCCTTCAGATTGGCCATCAACGTCCTCAGCATATCGAAATCTGCTTTTTCAAAGCCTGCCCGAGGAGTGCTTGCTGCTGATTGAACTGGTGATGGCCCGGTCGGAGACCGCACTTTGGGAGACACATGTCCAGGAGGAGGATGATCAGGTGGATGGACCGAGTACTTGGGCTTGGGCTGGAGTTTGAGGCTCGAAACGGATGATGGCTTGGCAGCAGACTCGGCCTCGCTCGTCTCCAAGTCAATAGACTCCACTGTGGACATACCGCTCGGATCTGCACCAGCCTCTCCCTCCGTCTCCGACAGTGAAACTCGAATCCAAGCCTCACATGGGCAAAAGACTGAGGATTCTATCTTAGCAAAACAGCCAACATCATTCCAAATTCGAAACTCAAATTCAAATACTCCTACAGTACAGTAATAACTACGAACCAGCCAACCAAATCCTGGAATCCTTCTCCCACACACGCCTCTCCAGCACTGCTGCTTTCTGCTCCGGACTCAGCAGAAATCGCTTGGGCGTCTCGTTTGCTGGGAAGAGTAGGAAGAGCACGCCGACCTCCGGCCTGAAGATTGAATTGAAGGCTCAGGCACCTTTAAACACGAACTCAGATTCAATTTGGACGTCGGACTTAGAATAAGATTTTGGTTCATCTTGTCCTTCGTCGGCACTGCCTTCTTCTTGGCAGCAGAGCCGTAGCTCCTCGCTCGTGTGTCTCTTTCAGCGTCAGAGACGTAAGCACCTGCATCCGTCCATTCCAGCATACTGCTGGGGTTGCCGGGCACCTGCTCAAGAATTAGTCTTAGACTTAGACGTAGTCTAGTCTAAGAATGAAAGATTATTATTTATTGCTATCCAAGATTCAACGACAATACTTATAATAGACTTAGTTATATACATAACCTCCGGATAGTAGTAGAAAGTATGAGCTTTTAAGTTTTTCATTTTCAATTTTCTAACAACGGCCTCGGCGGGGGCTGTCCAACCCAAACTCACAGCGAGGTTCTGAAACTCTGCAGGTGTCATGAGCTGGTTCAGTCGAGGTCTCTGGCCAGTGCTGCCATCGAATCCCACCGCAAGTTGAGCTGGCTTACTCAACCTGGTCAGAGACCGAAGGCCTTCCTCTGAGTAGTACTGCTCCATCTTTACCAGACAGTCGAAAGGCCTCAAGCTTTTTCGGCCGTAGGAATGTTTCGACTCCGGTGCCGTACTGCTCAGATCCACGATGGCACGTAGACTCCCCAGGTGCGAATATACCACTGCCGCGCTTTCGCCCGTCAAGAAGATAATGAGGAGGGCGACAAGGAACGTCGATCTGTGTGCCCCGTTCTTGCACGACACCAAGATCTTTTGCCCCGAACTGAGCAATTTCAGGGCCCTCTCGAACATACGGATGACGAGTCCTTTGTCGATGTCACCATGGGCGACACCCGTGCCATCCAAATTGCCCATGAACTCTATGCGCGAGTCTCTCACGACAGGAGGATGAGCAGCAGCCGCCAGGATGCAGCCTATGCCATTGGCAATCAGGACCTCAACCTGGCCAGAGGCCGCGATGCCACCTAGCCAAAGCTGCCCGCCGTTCGGTAGCTCAAGGACGACATGCATCGGGTGCCTGCCCAAATAAGCATGAGATAAGTTCTGATCCTAGTCTAAAGCTGCTATGTCGTTAGTCGTTAGTTATCAGTTATGATGTATTTCGTGTCTATACTTTCTGAATCCTGAATTTCAAAATTAAAAATATATGTGTGAACCATGTCTATGCCTACCCGCTTAGCCCAATCCCCATCCCGAACCGAACCCGCCTGGAATTGTACGCCTGCCAGCACATTCTACGCAAAGACTGCCCGTTACCATAGGAGTCCGTGACGAGAACTTTGCCCAGGTCCGAGACCGATGCTGCTCTTTGCCCTCGCTTTGAATCAATCTTCGGAAATTGATACTCCGTCAAAGCATTGAAGCGAGCATCGAGAGGGGCGAAATCAGACATGGCCAGAAATCACGTCACACGTCAGTCACTGCGGCTGAATGCCACCAATCAGGCGGCTGGGTCTCTGCACAGCCCAAAGCTGCGGCTGCAAGTAACATTTTTGAGGTCTTTACGATTTTGGGGTTTGTCTACTCCAGCACTTCAGCATGCCACAAGGTCACATGACATGACACCAAGAGCAAGACATCAAGAGTGCATCAGACATGACATGACTGCTGCAACTGCCGACTAGCAACCCTGCAAAACAAACTGCCCACCCTGCAAAACTCGGTCCTGTCCACGGTCCGTTGAAGAAGCTGGCAAGCCGCTGGAATGCTTCCCGCTGCGTCCCTGAGCGGGCATGATCCGGGCGAGACACCGGGGAGTCATCATAACTCATACATAACTGGATCAAATCCACGGCTTGTAGATGGGCTTGGGACCACTCTTCCACCAATGCTGCAGGGGTTTCCTTGAGGACTCGAAATGTTTCAGGACGCGCAAACTGAGCAGTGGCCTTGACCCGGAGATCCTGCAAAAGGTTTCCCTTGTTCAGCACCTTCGCGACCGAAAAGTTCCCGCCCAGAACCCCCAGGAATTTCGTCACCTGCTCTACTATGTTGCCGACCCTATGTTGCAGGCACAGCGATGGCAGGAAGAAGTGATGATCCTCCAATTCTTGGTCAACAAACCTCAGCAAGCGAACGTTGGCTGCATGTGCGTCCGACGTGGTCAATGTTGCCACGTACTTGCCCGACAGTGCCTCCGAAAGGCCTGCCGGGCCGGAGCTGAGCGCCTTATGCATCGTGGCCGAGTTCATCCCTGGAAACAAAATGTCCGGAGGCCTGAATACATGCTCATCATGGACCAAGTCTTCACCCTCAAAGCGAAAAGTCAACTGACCGTGGGAGCAAAGCACGGAATACGAAGCTGAAACGTCACCAACCAACAAATCGAAAGTAGACTCATCGAACATGATATTCCGAATGACGTAGGCAAGCTTCGGCTGGACACGGTCAGGGACCTCGACATGGTCTGAGACCTGGACACGGTCGGAGGCCTGTTTCAGCTTCTCAATGCCTACGTTTTGTCCTTCCATGATACATGCCGCCGCCACGTAGCGACTACCAGATGCGTTATTTCGCCCAGCTCCTTCAATAGAGCTTTGAATCTGGCGACAGGTGGCTGTCTCAGCACTGAAAGCTGCTCGAAGAATAGCCGGAGCCGACCATACTTTCCATTTCCCGCTGCCTCGAACCGGCTGTCGATCCAGATTACTTTCATGCAGGGGCATATGGAAATCTTGATTCCTTGCTCGTCCACTCCCATTAAAGGCTCGTGATTGCTGATCCATGAAAACTTGCTTCTTTGTCAATTTGGCTCTAGATTTCTTGCTAGGGTTTCCAGGTCGGAGACCGAGGCTGTCCGGGCTGCGTTTTTTCTGTGCCTTTTCAACCTGATCTTCATGGTCTCCCTGTTCTGTCTGCCCCTCTTCTCGAACAGCTTGTATCATACCAAGGATTTGGGCCATATCCAACGTTTCATCTTCCATTGCATCACCCATTGCTAGTTCTAACTCTAATAATTCAAGATGATCTGCTTCTCTCTGAAAGACTATAGACTATGGACTCGTTCTGAAACCATATAGAAATGACATGGTTTATGAGCCAAAGCTTCAGGGCATTCAAGTGCAAATGTCATACAGAACAGTATCCCCGGATCTCGGAATGAGCTAACATACTAGTTCTAACCTAGAATGGAGAATAATAATAAGATTTCAATAATATCTATATTAATATAATTATATCATAATTATAAAAAAAGAATTTTGAGAAATATTATATATTTAAAAAAGAATTTCAACTATTTCATCTTTTTACTATTTTTGATTTTTAGTAATAATAAGCAAAAATGATCCACAGGCCTTTTTGGGGACACTCAACATTTTGTACTTCCTCTTCAAATCTTCTACGGCCGCGCTGAGCCAGTCAAGTGCCGCCGTACCATTGCCAAGATTACAACCCGTAAACGAATCCAATTCCACACTCGTACACCTAAACAAAGGTAAAGGCCCCCGGCAACTTGCGAAGAGGTCCAGCTTGTACGGCACTCTCCTCTGCTCTGAACTGGCTCACACGGTATCTTTACAAACGCACACAGAAACACTCCCGGCTTTTACTGCGTATACTGCGTGTAGCTTCTGTTCTGTTCTCCAGCGCACGGGGGAAATATGCTACCATCTTGCCTTCACGCTCTGGCGAAGACGGAATATAATATAAGCTACATATTGCACCCGTGCACCAGGTGTCCACCACAAGCCTCTCCGTCGCACTGCTCACGGAGCAGGAAGCATTCGACGAGGACGTTCACGATGATTACCGCAATGATGCGATTCAGTTTACTGGCGTTGCAATACGTTTTCCAGTTGCTTCGATCAGAATTTCACAATCAATTAAACCTGCATTCTACCTACAAGTACTACGAATGTCCTTCACCGAGGCAACATTGCGGCCCTCGGTATGCCCGAACGACCCCAAACCCCCAAGCTGAGCAATTACCGGGCCAAGAGCCTCAACAACATGAGATGAACTCCATAAATGGCTTCGGGTTTGGGGATGTTTGGGGTTTAGCGGGTGTCTAAAGTTCATAGGTTCTTTTTATGGTACCTCTCAACTAGGGACCCGTTTTAGGTACCTGAATAGCACGGCAGCCTTATAGAAAAGCGAAGTAGTGTAATCCTGAAGCCATGAAACGGTCTAGGGTTTCTACAAACAGGATTTAGGTATTTGGGGTACCTTGCATCCTATTCCCTGCCTTGCGGAACTCTGAACAACCGCACCTGTAAAGTCTCGATGTTCACATCCTTCAACGAGCTGCTTCCGAAGCACGACCTCCAACAGCCCTAGTTTTCGAGGGTCAACAAGTAGGTCGCGTGGGGTTTAGGGGGTTCGATTAGTTAGTATACTTGTGTAGGAACCTTAAGTTAAGGAAATAGTACTACGTACCAATTACCGAGGCGTCTATGTTAGTTGTTTCTGTGCGTGTAAGTGCTGTGCGAAGAAAGGACTACAGGGATGGTGACCAGTGCACTTTCAGGACTCCCTCAGATCAGAGCCGAAACTCCCTGGTCCACAGCTCAAACGGAATAAAACTAACACAAAAGCCGGTTTAGGGTTTTTTTTCCCACCCGCTTCGGTTTAGGGTTTATAGGGTTTAGGGTTCATGAAGCCCGACATGCATGTAGGCTAAACTGCCCTTATGTACCATCTTGGGCCCTCCTCCCAGGCCCTGGAGACTCGAGGATGCCTGTAGTGCTTTTTCCGAATCCCTAAGGGTCCATGTACCCATATAGTATATACAATGGCCCCAAGGTACCTATGTAGGGACTACATTAAGGCCAAAGTATACACTATTTGGGTACATGGACCCTTAGGGAATGTCCAGTGCCCAGGGTTGTTGCAGACCGCCCCCGGGGAGGGATGGAAGAGGGCCGCAGTTTGCGGTTGAGGGCGTCCCAGAGACTCCGATATCCCTTAATTAAGGAATATACCTTAAATCATATTCAGGATCCTACTATAATTTAAGGTATATGCGAGTTTCCCGAAAATAGGGGACCCTAATATAGTACCCGAAATAGTAGGATCCTTCTTATAAGGACCCCAAAATAAGGTACCCCTAGCTTTCGGAAACTCCCATATACCTTAATTAAGGGATATTGGAGTCTCTGGGGTGTCAAAGTGGCCTGCAGGATGAGCGGAATACGGGGCATTGCTACTAAACGGTTTAGGGTTTAGGGGTTAGGGTTTAGGGGTTTAGGGTTTAGGGTTTAGGGCCAAGGGCTCCTCTGCTGCAGTTTCAAGTTTCAAGGCATAGACTCTACGCCTAAGGCCAGAACCTTGAAGCCAAAGCCCTAACAAGCAAATTCGACCTTTGCACTCTAACACCCCAAAACCCTGGAGCCCCAGGAATACACTCTAAAAGGAGCTTTGGGTTTAGGGTTCCTAAACCCTAAACCCTAAATCCTAAACCCTAGCCCCAGGCAACGGAACCCTCGAACAAAAACTCCACGCCTAGCCGCCTGATAGTTCCAGTCCTCGGGCACCTTAGGGTTTAGCGTTTAGGATTTAGCATTTAGGATTTAGGGCTTATCTTGGCTTTAGGTTTAGGACTAACCCATGTTGCAAGGGGTTCAGGCTTTTGCTGGGAGGTTCATGGTTATTAAAACCTTTCGAAAGGGTCTGCAAAAGTGCTTTAACAGGAATTGAAAGCTACTTTCACAGGTTTGTCAGAGGGAGTCATGCAAGGTTCCAGGATTTTCGGAGGGTTTGGCGCTTCGGGTTCTTCTGCTTTGAACCAATTCCCAAGGACCCAGCCACGAAATTTTCTGAGATCTGCCCACGGTGTTGCCCATGCTTTTATACCCCTTTTCAGCACGGACTGAGGTGCCGGCCAGCGCCCCTAAACCCAAAGCCCTAAACGACCCCTCAACCCCATTAAGGTGTTACAAGGATGCTCTGCAACCAAAAAAACTATGGTGGTTGAGTTGGGCATAAAGCCGAAGTCCCAACTTCAAGCTAACCTCAGCCTGGCACCGCGTACTTCTTGCGATCGAGCTTCCTCAGAGGAGGCGATAGTCTGGGACAGAGAACTTCCATGCATGCGTCCCAACAAAGCTTCCTCTAAAACAGGCCTCCACGACGCATGACAGAATCGCCTCTACAACCAGAACTTCCTCATTGCTTATGATCACACGGCTGGGCATGTGGGAACCCTCTTTTGTGTTTTTGCTAGGGCTTTTTTGTTGTCCAGCATCTGGACTTCTCTTGCAGGCGTAGCATGTCACGCGGCTCGATGACTTCTGGCTACAGGTTCTAGCGGAGTCTAGCGATCAGCATCTACTCCACTGATCAAGTTTCGAGGCGTTCAGATTTGCCGATTCGGCCATTGCTTTGGGCCCCCCATCCAATGGCAGAAAAGCAGCAAAGCTGTGCTTCCAATCAAAGTTTCGGAGGAAACCCCGAACCCCCAAACCCTTCACCCTCCGAAAACCCGAAAAAGGCCCGAAACACGACATGCAACCAGCTGATTGAAAAGCCGGGAGGCTCCAGAATTGCCTCAATGGATCGGTGTTCCTGCATCAGCTTTCGTGCCGTGACGATGCCCACCTGCACAGAAACGAAAGCTGCCCACGCAGAAGAGGGTACAGTTTTCTGCGCTCACAACTGGGGTACAGCTTGTCTTAGGGATTGGGGTTAGGGATGCTTAGGACATGGTCAGTGAACAGGAGAAATTGCCCAGGCAGGCAGCATAGAACGGCAAAAACATCGGGTGCAAATACCTCAGCTGCTCTTTGAGTGCTGCAGGGGCACCTTGGAGATGGTCGTCAGGTAGTCGCATCCGGCCAGTATGCAGAAGTCCACCTTAAAGAGTTGTGCTAATTTTGTGCTTAGTGGGCTCCTTCTACACTTATCAAGTCTAGGGAGTCTAGGGAGCTATCATTCCTGCTGTTCTGCTAGGAACCTAGTCTTAACTGAAGTGGGCTTCCTTCGACCCGACATTCTTCAGATGATGCTCGGAAGGCACACGAAAGAACAAGCACCATATTTGATTTGGATGAGTATGTAGCCATTTCTCTCATGTCGATCCGACTGAGCGGACGAGCGCGGCCCCATGTCCGCCCCCTGAAACCCTGAGGCACTACTCTTAAAATGTTAATGTTAAACCCTACTGCATGATGACCCTAAACACGAAACGCCCTGAAATCCTAAAACACCCTAACCCTGAAATCCCTGAAACCTCGACGAACTCTGCCAACGAGACTCAAACTCTGCCTGCGTGAATGTCAGAGCTGCCAGGAGGGACTTGAGCTGAATATCCTCAAGTCTGGTTCCCTGTTAGGGCTATACTAAAAATGATCATTTTTGATCCTTATTGGCATTGGGTTTTATATTATGACAAAAATGTGAAATTGTAGCCAACAAGGACCCAGAACTCTAAGTGGGCTCAGCGGGTTCAGGGAAACCTGGGCTTTACGGCTTCGGATGGTTTCGGGGCCCAGGGGTGGCTTCGGAACCTCAGGACTCGGGTCTGGAAGGTCGAAGAGTCAAGCTTTCATTCACTTCAGGCTTACTGGTCCCCTGTCGGGGCCATGTCAATAATGGTCATTTTTGAACCTTATTGGGTTTTATTACAACAAAAATGTAAAATGGCTTAAGGTATCTTGGGTTTAGGGTTTAGGGGTTTAGGGTTCAGGGTGTGCGTTCATGATGGGCATGGCGTCCAGGAGGGTCGGAC